AACCCTCGAATGTCGAGGTGGGTAGTACCTTCATCATAACATCGGCAAACTGCTGATCGGTGGGCACATGTAGAACGCGAACACGACCAAGTGCGACGTGCTCCCTGACGAAGTGAATGTCGAGCTCAGTATGCTTCGTCCTTCAGTGATGGACATGATTGGCAGCGAGGTAAACCGCGGAGACATTGTCACAGTAGACAAGCGTAGCCTGGTAACCTCACATAGCAACTCCTGAAGTAGCTGTCGTAGACAAGAGCACTCCACGACGGCGTTGGCCACAACCCTGTACTCAGCCTCGGCGCTCGATCATGAGACCGTGGGTTGCCGTTTAGACGACCACGAAATCAGAGAGGTCCCGAGGTAGATGCAGTAGCTGGAAGTGGAGCGTCGAGTATCGGGACACCCAGCCCAGTCGGCGTCGGAGTAGGCGACTGATGTCGCTTGAAGCTACGTCGGTATTTCCCCAAAGAGAAAGGGATGATGCAGCACAGCGATGGTAGGTATTTCCCTCAGAAATGAAACCAAGGTTATCGAACCAGTAGGAGAACCAAGCAACACAACGTAAATAGCCCCTGCACACAGATAACAATTCCTCACAACCTGTCGTGGAATTGTCACGGCAGATGTCCTAGTGTAAGGACTTAGTCATGAGGCCAACGCATCTATGTCGTAGCTTGAGAGGGGTTGAGCGGGATGAGACGCAGGGCGGATCAATGCACAAGACAAGGATTTAGACAGCTTCGGGCCCCGGGAAACATCATCCGGTAATATCCTTACATGTTGTTTGTGGCTAGGTCTTATTATCATCACGAGGGAGTCGCCGTAAACTGGCTCTCCCAGTTATCCCTAAGCCTTAATATTATTTCCCTCCATTTTACGGGGTGCCCTGCCCCTCCTTATATATGTTGAAGGGGCGGGTTACATGTAGAGTCCATCTCGGACTAAGACTTAAACTATTTTGACTTCTCTTCATGGGCTTCATAATGTCTTGGGCTTCATAACGTCTCAGGCTTCATAACCCCTGGCAACCGAGTTATCACTGTTTTCCGGGTTATGACTGGTGCCGGTTTATGATGGTCTGCCGGTTTATGATTGTCTACCAGTTTACGATGGTCTGTCGGTTTATGATTGTCTGCTGAGTTATCATCTGACTTAACTCCTGCCGGGTTATCATCTGACTTAACTCCTGTCGGGTTATCATCTGACTTAACTCCTGCCGGGTTATCATCTGACTTAACTCCTGTCGGGTTATCATCTGACTTAACTCCTGTCGGGTTATCATCTGACTTAACTCCTGCCGGGTTATCATCTGACTTAACTCCTGCCGGGTTACCAGGTCCCAACCGGGTTATAACTCTGGCCGGGTCATACCGCGGGGTATATCCCCGACATTAGCCCCCAGTTTAATTTGGATTTATCCATGTTAAACTGATCCTGAGCATCCTTAAATCCTTGTCATTTCCTTCTAAAAAATCTGGGTCAATAGGCCAGCTTCATAATCAATTTGCTGACATTGGTTTGTCACAGAAGAATAATTCCTTTGACTCAGCTCCCAATGCTTAAAAAATACTGGTCCTTGAAATACTCATCTAATCTTCAACCGGTTTAAGAATGTAGAACTTGTCGGTTTAAGAATGTAGAACCTTGCCGGTTTATCATTGTCGGTTTACAAATATTGATGGTACCGGGTCATAATTGTAGTTAACATCAAGCTTGAAAATATACCTCTTATATGCTTATCACTTGTAGCCCCCAAGTCTTAAGAAAGTAGCATAGCAACAACTTAAGACTTGCTTCAATATAAATATCACAATCTTGAAGAAATCTGATTTGTTCATCCCAGTCATTTAGTCATAAACTGAGTATTCCATATATGTAGCCCCCAAGTGCTGGGTCATTATGCAATAATGAGCAGGGACTTTGTAAATATAATCATGTAAACTTTGAACAACAACGTGTATTCCCCAACGGCCGGCTCAGTAAGATAATATTGAGCTGGGGCTTGATATATACTTCAATGAAAATAACATCATATGATAACCCCCCGTCATGGGGCTTGAACCCACGCCCACAAGGTTAAGAGCCTTGTGTTTTACCAACTGAGCAGTGGACCCTTCAATATAATGGATTAAAAGCTTTGTACCTTGAATTGTTGATAGGAGCAA